CACAATCCTTCAGATATGTGCTTTGAGAAGATTTAATTCTTATCTTTAGATCTCCTGATAACACAAATAAGCCTGACTGATTTCCTGGACTACCCTGTGCCTTTGATAATAGTATTTACCTTAGCTTCTTCTGCAATTAGAAAATTTGCACACACACACACACACACAGCGGCTAGATATTCAACTGAAGGATTTAATTTCTGACTTCACTCACTGTATAAAGTGCCAATCTTTGCACTGCTTTCCAGCACCTGAAAGGACACATTTCCTTGCAACCAAATAATGTTTTCCATGCTCTCCTCCTGGCTTACCAGCCCCTCTCCCCCCTCATAACAAGACAGGCACTTTCTCCGGGCCTTTGTGCTTCAGGAAGGCAATAGTAATTTTAAGCAAAGCCCTTAATCTGATTTTAAAGATAATCCCCATTCTTCCGTGAAGCACAAAACCCAAGAAAACACAGAAACAGCTCTGAGGGGGCGGAAACTGCTCCAACAAAGAGATGAAGCCAATGGTGGAGAGGTCCGAGGTCCCCGTTCACGAAGCTTTTGCGCACACTTTGTGCCCACTGAGAACAATCTTCAGGAGGTTTGGGCTAGTTCTGGCACAAGCTTTATTCCTGGTAATTAAAATTCCAGCCAGCACTCGCCTTCTGTTCACTTATCAAAATCTTCAGAAGCTGCTTGTCCTGTGTTAACTCTTTCAAGAAGCATCAACAGCAGGCCGCCTTCTCTTCCGCACAACGAAACTCCTTGCCATTAGACAATCCTATCCATAGCTAAAGAAAGGCATTCTTTCTGAGCCAACTACATCCCCCAATAGACTGAAACCACAACCTGCAGGTCTCAGACATGCCTTTAAATTTGCTCATCAGTCAGCTAGTGGCACAGCTACCACAACAAATGCAAACCAGTATTTTTCTTATTTTCTTATTTCTTATTTTCTTATTTTTCTTATTTTCTTATTTTTCTTATTTTCTTATTTTTCTTATTTTCTTATTGGAAGGGAGGTTGGACTGCATTAGAGAGCTTGCTCACATGTGAGCTTGCACTGCACAGCTGCAGCTAGCAGCAAGTGGAGATACAGTAATTTTGCTTGGTTTAATTACATATTTTGATAGAAGTAAAGAAACTAAAGAGGGAAGGTTTGGGGTTTTTTGGGTCCCTTTCCCAATTACTCTAAACTTGATTTGAATCACTCCACTGAAGGCACATGTACTGCAGCAACCCTTTAGGTGCCCACGGATAGAAAGAAAAGGATCTGCTCAGTGACTGTGCTGTGACTGGTGTCCTCATTCACCCGGTAAATGTGCCCAAGCAGTGCCTCTGAACGCAACGTCCTGGACTCACAGCTGGCTCAAATCGGCAGCGCGGCCAATTCTGGCTGAACAACATGCATTCATCCCAATGGGGCTCCTGCCCACCGGAGGAACCCTGCTCTTCCAACCTTTTAAACAGAAACTGGAATTACCTCCACTGGGTTTTTTTACAGCACTTCAGAGGCAGAGAAAGTGTTAAACATCATACAAATATTCAGCATCAATACTATGCCTGACCTCCAAAGAAATTCAAATCCTGGTACACGTCTCCTTGTCAAATTCCTTTTTTCCCCTCTGACCTTCTTCTGGCCAGCACAGAACAGTCAGTCCAGAAACACGAGGGCTGTCTCACTGAGAAAGCAATGTCCTGGATATATCTAGCCGTCAGTTTACAATGACAAGATTAAAAATAGTTTAATTGTTCAATAAAGCTATATCTGAAATTATTAATCCTAGAATACTGTTATTCAAGCTCATCAGATAAGTTTGGTTTGCATCAAATTTTTTGCGCAGAAGTTACTATGTTAACAGATCATTTTTTGGCAGATTATTCAGTATTTTGGAATAGAAAAGAACAAATAAAGCATAGAGCCACTTGAGGCAGGTAAACTCTTCCCTGATTTTTTAACTCTGACTGCTTCGGGCTCTACAATTTGAGGTTTCTTCCATTCCAAAAGTGGTTGGAACACAATGTTTATTAAAGTTCATATATGGAACTGCTTAGGCAGGAACTTGTTTTTCTTCAAACTCTTAAATCTTCTTTTTCACCTCAGTTGCTGTACCCTTCCATGGGAACCACTTTTGCCCATGTTTTCATATGCTGTCTGGACATTTCATCACTACCATTGCATCACCTTAAGTCTCGCAGTAGTTAGCATCCAGTGCACTCAACTTTAGAGAGTTGCAACAAGTTTCATTCTCAATTATTTCTTAGCAAGATGCTTTTAAACGAAATGAAGCAAAACTGTGGTTTTCTCCCGCTACAGTATATTTCTTATTTATAGTTCTACAAAACAGACACCTTGCCAGCTGTTTCTGGATCAGAAAAGTCTACAAACCTTTGCCCTGTTCAAATAACTTAATTGATTTCACAAGACACAAAGAGAACCACAACCACACTGTGGTTTCCAAGAGTGAAATGTTTTTATGCTGCTGCTTGAACAAGAGGTAAACATCAAGCTGAGTTTTATCAAAGGCCCAATGCTGCCTTAAAACTGGAATCCATCCTTGAAGACAATGGGTCAAAGCTTTGGCAAGTATTAATAGACTTAGAGATAGTGCGACCACCAGTTACACTGGTGGAAGGCTTAGCTCTGCAATTGCAAGGAAATAGCTAATTATTTTACAACAGCTAATAATTAAGGACTTGAGCACTGAAAGAGAGCCAATGTCACTCCAGTCTTCAAAAAGGGCAAGAAGGAGGACCCAGGGAACTACAGGCTAGTCAGCCTCACCTCAGGAGGAGTAGTCAGCATGGATTTGCCAAGGGGAGATCATGCTTAACCAATCGGATAACCTTCTGAGATGGAATGACTGGTTGGGTAGATGAGGGGAGAGCAGTGGATGTTGTCTACCTGGACTTCAGCAAGGCTTTTGACACTGTCTCCCAAAACATTCTCATAGGTAAGCTCAGGAAGTGGGGGTTAGGTGAGCGGACAGTGAGATGGATTGATAACTGGCTGGATGGCAGAGCTTAGAGGGTTGTTGTGATCAGTGGCGCAGAGTCTAGCAGAAGGCCTGTAGCTAGTGGTATCCCCCAGGGGTCAGTCCTGGGTCCAATCTTGTTCAATTTATTTGTCAATGACCTGGATGAAGGCACAGAGTGCACCCTCAATAAGTTTGCTGATGATACAAAGCTAGAAGGAGTAGCTGACACACCAGAAGGCTATGCCGCCATTCAGAGGGACCTGGACAGGCCTGGAGAGCTGGGCAGAGAAGAACCTCAAGAAATTCAACAAAGGCAAGTGTAGGGTGCTGCACCTAGGCAGGAATAACCCCATGCAGCAGTACAGGCTGGGGGGTTGACCTGCTGGAAAGTAGCTCTGCAGAGAAGGACCTGGGAGTCCTGGTGGACAACAAGTTAACTTAAGCATGAGCCATCAATGTGCCCTTGTGGCCAAGAAGGCCAATGGCATGCTGGAGTGCATTAGGAAGAGTGCTGCTAGCAGGTCGAGGGAGGTGATCCTGCCCCTCTGCTCAGCCCTGGTGAGGCCTCCCCTGGAATACTATGTGCAATTCTGGGCTCCCCAGTACAAGAGAGACATGGCCAGAGTGGAGAGAGTCCAGTGGAGGGCTACAAAGATGATGAGGGGACTGGAGCATCTCTCCTGTGAAGAAAGGCTGCGAGAGCTGGGCCTGTTTAGCCTGGAGAAGAGAAGACTGAGAGGCGATCTCATCAATGTATACAAACACCTAAAGGGAGGCTGTCAAGAGGATGGGGCCAGACTATTTTCAGTGGTGCCCAGTGACAGGACAAGAGGCAACGGGCACCAGCTGAAACACAGGAAGTTCCACCTGAACATGAGTAAAAGCTTTTTTCCTGTGAGGGTGACTGAGCACTGGAACAGCTTGCTCAGAGAGGCAGTGGAGTCTTCTTCTCTGGAGATATTCAAAACCCACCTGGAGGTGATCCTATGCAACAGGCTCTAGATGACCCTGCTTGAGCAGGGAGGTTGGACTTGATGATCTCCAGAGATCCCTTTCAACCCCAGCCATTCTGCGACTCTGTAATTTCCAAGCTTAGCTTGTCCATGAGTGAATAACGGGTTTTCCCCTTCCTTAATGTACCCTCCATTATACTAATACAGAAAATAGTAATTACTAGTAATTCCTCTGTGACAGGACTGTCTAAACACTGGTCCTCCAGTAACTTAGTCCTAGATCTTTAAATCAAAAACTACTGTAGTGTCACCACCTCGGTGTTTTGTGGTGTTCACCTCTTGCAGTGTATCTGTGTAAACCTTGACAGTGTCTGCCACAGATAGATAATCTGCAGGGATTACAGGACTCTCCTGATTATATCAGTGCAAAGCACAAGTAATTTCACTGACGTAAGAAGAAAATTGGTCCTGAATCAGTGCTGAAA